ACACACTACACACTACAGCCTCGGTTCAGGCACTGCCTGTACACACTACACACTACACACTACAGCCTCGGTTCAGGCACTGCCCGTGCACACTACACACTACACACTACAGCCTCGGTTCAGGCACTGCCCGTGCACACTACACACTACACACTACAGCCTCGGTTCAGGCACCGCCCGTACTCACTATACAATACACACTACAGCCTGGGTTCACGGCACCGCCCGCACCCATCCCATACCCGTCACCATCTCAGTCGGCTCCTGCAGGCAATGCCATGACGTCACTGGTCTGCGGCATGTCAATCCTCATGTCCATCGCCTCCGTGCCGGTGAGATAATTTAACGAGGTGCTCTAGCTTCCGGCGGCAGGACAGCTGCCCGTGGCAGCGTCCTCGTCCACTTCCTGATCGCCGTGGGGAGGGGAGCAGAGGGAGAACATTGCGCCGTGCGGGAGGGGAGCGGAGGGAGAACATTGCGCCGTGTGGGATGGGAGAAGAGGGAGAGCATTAAGGCGTGAGGGGAGGGGGAGAGATTCCACCGTGAGGGAGAGGACACTCTGACCACGTGACGCCTCAGTAAGAGCGAGGTGCTCTGGTCTGGTCCTCTCCATGGCATGACCTGATCGGTTAGGACCGTAGTCTGGTCTGGTTGGATCGGTGGGGCTGTGGTCTGCTCTGGCGAGCTCAGTGGTCTGGTCTGGTCTGGTCTGGCGAGCTCAGTGGGACTGTGGTCTGGTCTGGCGAGCTCTCGGTTAGGACTGTGGTCCACTCTGATCGGCTCCAGGTGCCGCGGCGCGATCGGTGGGACGGTGCCCTGGCCTGGCCGGGGAAGACGTGTCCAGAACGGCCCGCCGGCTGGCCGGAATGGAGCCCCGAACTGCCGACCGGCGCGGCAGCTGGCGCGTGTCCTGCAGCGACAGTCGGTCGGCCCGACAACGGCAGACATATTCAAACTCCTACTTAAACACGGCGCGAGGAAACTCGACAATGTGTCTCTTCGCGTAATGGCCGGACACACTGCCATGGCAGCACATGCATACATACTCCAGTTGCTCCACATCTCAAAATCTATGGATCACATTGAAAACTTTATCGTGGCTTGAACAAAGATCCATGTAACACTCAAGCTATTCGGGTACTCAAACAAGAGCTGGACCCTGTGGCTGCTGGCTGCCTGGCACTCGGCAGTACGGGATTTAGGCACTGAGCATTGAGCACGCCTTGCAGTGTCTGAGGATCGCCTCACCTGCAAACAGGAATGCCGGTTACGCAACGTGTGTCCGAACAGTGTGCGCTGCATACCGATGTGGTAAAACGGTCATCGTTCTCGGTCAGTGACATACCACTATGGTACTGTCACAGATAACAGTAGTACTGGATTGGAAACAGGATTCCGGTGGTTGCAGTAAGGGGCCGAAAACATGACCGAATATTTCGTACCCAGACTTCGATATCTTCTCCAATAAAAACCAATATTTTTTGTTGCCTGTGAGAGAAGATATCGAAGTCTGGGTACGAAACATTCGGTTCTGTTTTCGGCTCCTTACTGCAGCCACCGGAATCCTGTTTCCAATCCAGTACTACCTACTGTTATCTGTGGTACTGTCTATGCAATGTGCACTAATTGTGCAGTGATAATATCGGCTACCTACATGTGAACCTGCTTGTGAAGCCACATCATGACAGCAGCGCCAGAAATGAGCACGATGAAACAACTTTAAATATTTACATATGTATTTTCGTCAAAAATACTTTATAATCAAACTTAATTGCAGTGTAGGTAATATCCGAACTTTAATTAAAAGGTAGGAAGGCATAGCTCTCCTAAACCCAGGGGCGTCGCCGACGGGGGGGTCGGGGGGGGGGGTCGTGACCCCCCCACTCTTGAAAACTGGGGGTGTCGACCCCCCCCCCACTTTTTGCGATGCTGAGTATGCTTTTTTAGCTTTTATGTCAGTTAAGCAGGCGTCAGCAACACCAACAAATACATCAGATTCAGAATCGCTTCAAGAGCTCCCTAAAGCCAATTAGCCAATTACCTAAAGTTAAATAAGCTGTGGTCGGGGAACACCAGTACAACATTATTTTTAAGTAGCCACCATTCTAGTACCCTTTTATCCCTCAAAGGATTGGACGCGCCAAAACTGCCCCGAGCCGTTCGTCTGATCGTTTAAAAAAATGGTCGCAGTCGATTCGTCGGATCAGTACCTAACTACAAAACTACAAACTAGCCTCAGCCCCATGGCACAACTAGCTGTACAGTGCACATGTAGGGGAAAGGGAGTCAGATGAAACCGTCTCGGACTTTCGCAAAGAAGTCGCGCAAAAAGGAGCCGATTGCAACGAAACTTCCGGTGCGCTCGAGTTAGTCACCTACTTAAAAATAAATCAAACGTTTCGTGTTCGGTTTAACACTTCATCGGCGATACTGGCGCGGCAATTCATTTTCGTAGACATACATACATGTTTTTTTACCTAATTATCACTTTCATTTTCCTACTAACCTCCACTCCGCATAATTTTCTGTTAACTACTCCTAGGCTGGAAAAATACAGACATACACCATTGAACACATTGAATACAAACATACACTGCAATAAATCATTTGAAACCAAGACCCACGGGGGGACTGTAAGAAAAACTGCTGCGTGTGCCGAGTTATGTACAACCAGACAGAGAAGTTAACCGGACCAAGCAAGAATGAAGAGTGTACGTATGATAAAACAATTGGGTGTAGGTCAAGGAATGTAGTTTATGGGATTATCTGCGGGGTATGTGAATGTGTAGTATATGTTGGGGAGACCGGGGGGACACTGTACGTCAGGGCGCAAAATCACTTGTCTACCATTAGATGTAAAAGGACCGAAATGGAGGTAGCCGCCCATTTTAACGGGGATGGACATAGCATCAAAGATGCAAGTTTCGTAGGGCTCGAAAAGGTTTGGAAAAACTGGACTATGTACAGGAGACAGAGGGAACAAAGGTGGATTGAGCTGTTGGGTACGCACCATCTAACGGTCACAGGGGGACTCAACAAGAAAACGCGCTAGTAGTCCCCAGAAACACGAGAAAATGATTTATTGCAGTGTATGTTTGTATTCAATGTGTTCAATGGTGTATGTCTGTATTTTTCCAGCCTAGGAGTAGTTAACAGAAAATTATGCGGAGTGGAGGTTAGTAGGAAAATGAAAGTGATAATTAGGTAAAAAAACATGTATGTATGTCTACGAAAATGAATTGCCGCGCCAGTATCGCCGATGAAGTGTTAAACCGAACACGAAACGTCCGATATATGCTGAGTTTTTATTTAATTTCAACGAAAGCTGAGTACTATATAAAAATAAATCGATATCCCTGATTCAAATAAAGATGACCTTGGTTCACTTTTTCATAACATGCTTTTAATTTAGGTATAGGATAGTTTTTGGAGCTGACTTTGAACTTAGCGCCCATCTGAACATTTAAGAAGTAGTTGTGATTTAAGAAGTAGTTGTGTTGCTTATGCATATAACATGTTAGGGAGCAATCGGTGGTGGTCATCCACTATTAGGTACTGGTCGATCTGACCTGACCTGATCTACCCCAAATGCATGGAGTCATCATCTTCGTTCAAAACTAAGATAACATTCGTAATCAGTACCTCGAAAAAACCATCACAACTTACATTCGCAAAGTTCTAGCAGGTCCCAAGTTTCCCTACTTATTGGCGATGACCTGAGTCCTGAGATGACCCGAAACCTTGTAAATGGGTATCATCGGCTTTCTCTCGTCACGGGCAGCATGCTTCATACCTCAGCGTTACTTTAGTATACGTTATACGTTAGCGACTGGGAACCCACCAATAGAAGGGCTACAGTGAAGCAGAAAACATATTCGATAGCTCTTTCAACGCTCTTTCGCTAGCTTCGCGTCAGATTTCATCTCAGGTCTATGTTTTGCCCGTAGAAGGCAAACAGCTAACAGGACAGATTCTGCCGAAACATTTGCTTTGCAATAGCTTTTATAGATTCCGTGAATTTGTATGGTATTTACATATGTTGTCTTGTCACCACCGTGTTTATCGCTTTAAGACGCGTCACATGAGTTAAAATTTGACCATTCAGAATTAACGTTAAAACGACCTCAGGTCAACGTTATGTCCTGATCGAAAAAGGACCTCCTGCATATGAATGGATCCGTGTTGTTGAGCTGAACAGTGAACACCTTCCAGGTGCTGTCATCGCTCTACCGCGTCTTCGTCAAAAGTTGTAGAAAAAATGCTGGTGGCCATCGATGGACATTTCCACTAATGACCTTTCGAGTCATATATCGGCATAAGTTGCACCCTGTCCCTGGCAATGATGAGCTGATTTGTCATGGCTCCAAAGATATTTTGCGTTTCTGACGTACCAAAGCAGGAGGCATTCGTGCTTTTCCTAATTTCTCATTATTTTCTAAATGATAAGGTCACGTATTTGACCTGCCTCCAGATCATAGATGTAAATCCTCAGAATCATGAATTGCTAACACGTATAACCCCATACATTAGGTATACACTATACAGTGTACCAAATTTCGAAGTTATGGGAGAAAAGCTACAAGAATGGCGAGAGGGGAAAGTTTGATAGAGGTATACCGTAAAACTGAACTTGACATGGCGACGTGACCTTAAGTGACCAGTGATAATTTTTACGCAAGTGATGTAGGTAGGTATACCTACCTAATAGGTTATACCAAATTTCGCGGCGCTGCGCGCCGATTTGTTACACGCGCACACACACACATACGCACGCACAAAACTGGGAAGTGCGGCAAAAAAAAAAAACACCCCTACCCATCGGGTGAAGACTAGAAACCCGACCCCCCCACTCAAAAATCCGTGGCGACGCCCCTGCCTAAACCCATGCGTTGTTAACGACTACTCCTTTCTTCTGACGTGCCGAACGACCCGCCGTTTCCACTGTGTGCCAACAGACCCCGTCTCTGGCTCTGACCTCCCTCCTCATCTCTGTCCCACAGGGAGACGGACGAGACGGGCGAGACCCGTCTGAGCCAGTGCCGCATGTTCAACCTAACGTTGGGCGACGGCTTCGCGCTGACGCCCGTGATCAGCAGCAACGGCACGGCCGCCACCGTCGGTACGTAGCGGACTGCGATCACGGCATGGGGATCAGGGGCTGACGGACAATCTCGGTGTGAGGGGTGGCGTTTAAATATCTAACATGAAACGTTTAATAAGTGAGGAATCTCCTCTTGTTTCTTTGTTTTTATACATAGATGACCACCAATAATGGCGAAAAAACTGCGCTTACCTGCCACTGGCTCTAGTTGAGTAACAATAGACAAATACTTACATATTGAAACGGTTTTAGCACACTGGTCTAAATGACTTTATCGACACCCTTTCGGATTGTATTCTTTTATTTTCGAAAGGGTGTCGATAAAGTCATTTAGACGAAACGCGCGTCCTCCCGAATGTGCTGTGTGACCCATCTCAATATGGCTCGTGTAATGAAATAAGCCTGCCATAGTAGAAATTGTTGTTGGTATTGCCCCTCGATAACAAGATTTGATCAATAATCTACTGCTTGTCGCTATCGGTTTGGTGGTTGGTTGCTGATAAGTGCAGCTCAAAATAGCAAATACCCATCGAAATTGAATGGCAGGGATGAACATTATGAAAAATTAAAATATAACCTCCTTAAACTAGGCTTTGCATATACATGTGCAAAGACCGACATATATGTAGGTGCATTACAAAGACTGTTGCACTATACTTTGTATGATCCGGTGCAAAAGTTATATCATCAGCTGCGCAGCGCACATTCGAGATAAAGTCCCTAACGCGGGCAAATCAGGAAACTGCATAGGTAGGCTGCACCGCATGGCATTACTGTAAGACGGAACAGCATCCTGACGCGCTTTAGTCCTGTTCTCGTAGCTCTTGCTTCCAAGGGTGTTGACTGTTGAACTGTTGAGCTGAACAAATTAATGTTGCAAATGCCAATGATGATCGGGAAGTGCAGAAAAAGTGAGGTAGCATCCTATTTATGGATGTTTAATGAAAGAAAGCTGGTTTTCATATGTACTCTTGGATCTCAATTCTCATGATCAGATAACTACCCTTTTGATTGTGTTTTCCGGCCTTTTCTGAGCTCAGCACAGCGATATCATCCGTTCTCACATATTACCGGCATACATGTGTCCATGTCCTATGGAATTTTACTTTTCTTTTCTAAGATTCCCGTTTCGAAATGCTAGGCAAAGCCAAGACTATGTTACGAACACTGCTAAGCTATATGTATGTAAATGCACTGACACCAAAGAAAAATGAAAATCGGCTGTCAAGTTGACGTGACACAAAGAGGGATAATGTTGCAGCTGACATGCCATGCCGTCTTACTTTCGCTTGTTGTCCATCCATGGGTCCATGCGAAGTGCGAACATGTTTGTTCCATTCATCCTATGCATTTATCATGAATTGCAAGGTGCATTCACTCCTGAGAGTTGCCTATATGGGAAACAATAGTTACAAGGATCATAGATAATATGTATACCTATCTCCTTTCGAACATATATAATCACTCTTCATTTATGCCATTGACATTGATGTGAACATCAACCAGTATAGTATTAAGATATGTATGCAATTAATTGTAATTATAAATGCCATACATAATTTATATTTTTACGTATAAATGCAACTGGAAGCTATATAACTTCCTTTTTCTTTCAGTTAATATAACAATAACGAAAATTTATCATGGTTCCTTACACATACCTCGCATAAAATGGTGTTCCTTTGATCTTTATAGCGCTGCTGCGTCTCGGTGCTTTTAGTGTAATGTGACTGAATCTGTCTTCAAAGATTGCATATTAATGAGTTACTTTGTCCTATCAATATGCTAGCATTAAAGAAGTATCAATAGAATCAAACTTTAACTAAAATGTACATTGCCAGACAAAAGCATAGGCGGCGGAACGGGGAGGGCACCGGGGCACCGTGCCCCCTTTGATTTTGGCATTTTAACATGAGCTCTATGGGCGTTGCATGGAAAGAATGGGACCAAAAAGTCGTCAGTGCCCCCCTTAATTGAAGGTGTTCCGCCGCTACTGGACAAAAGGTAGCTAAGACGGCAAAGCAAAAACGAAGGTTATGCGCCAAGTTAGACTGACCACTTGGCTTGACCAGTTGGCCATATACATTTCTTTTTCGTTGACTGTTGTTAAACTAGCCGCTGATTAGTTTTGCCGATGAACTATTTTACGAACATACAATTACGGGCTGGGAGTACGACCGCTCCCATGGCGGGCACTGTCGTGTGCCGTTTTCCAGTGACCAGCTGTGACCACCGTCTGCCCGCAGGCCGTATGCACGGCTGGGAGTACGACCGCTCCGATTGACGGGCACTGTCGTGTGCCGTGTTCCAGTGACCAGCTGTGACTGTCGTATGCCCGCAGGCTGTATGCACGGCTGGGAGTACGACCGCTCCCACTGACAGGCACGGGCACTGTCGTGTGCCGTGTTCCAGTGACCAGCTGTGACCACCGTCTGCCCGCAGGCCGTATGCACGGCTGGGAGTACGACCGCTCCGATTGACGGGCACTGTCGTGTGCCGTGTTCCAGTAACCAGCTGTGACTGTCGTCTGCCCGCAGGCTGTATGCACGGCTGGGAGTACGACCGCTCCAAATGGCTGGCACTGTCGTGTGCCGTGTTCCAGTAACCAGCTGTGATTGTCGTCTGCCCGCAGGCTGCATGCACGGCTGGGAGTACGACCGCTCCAATTGGCGACGCACGGCCGTGTCCGACTTTGACTGGGTGTGTGAGGACGCGGCCAATCCGACCACGGTGCTCACCATGAACAGCGTCGGCAGCGTGGTCGGAACACTCGTCTACGGCATCATGGCTGACATGTGAGCTGAGCGGAGGGGGAGGAGAGGGGAGGGAGGGGAGAGGGAGGGAGGTGACAGTGAGGACCGACTGGGGGAGAACGAGTGGTATTGTACCTGGATGATGTGGATGATATGAAGGTGGCTGGGTAGCAGCCGTAGGACGCGGCAGTGATTGTGCGACTCATTCCCGGTCATTAGTTCGCTGTGCTGTCAGTAGAGGGTGCGGTACTTCCGGCCAATACAATTCAAATCTGAACCGGATGTGCGGTGGAGTGCCACCAAAGCCGAAAATTGAATGATCGAACTGAGGAGTACCACAAAGGATAATGCTCAAATACGCAGGTGCACTTTCAAAACCAGTGTGGCGTGCCCCCAGTTTCCACCTCTTCTCCTTTGTGCTCCAGGATCGGAAGGAGGCCGGTGTTCTTCCTGAACATCGTCATCTTCCTCATAGGGGGCATCATCAACATTTTCGCGCCCACCTTCCTGGTGTTCGTGGCGTCGCGGGCGATCGCGCAGACCACGTTCCCGTCGCTCTACAACACTTTCTTCACGCTCGGTAAGACAATGACTGTGTAATCATAATCGAGGCTGCACCACATCAGCGTCAGCCAGTGTATTCTACTGACCCCCACACCGGTGTTTATGGCACACCGACGTGTTTCTGGTCACCTTCACATGGAGAACATCAGACAGCTGAACAAACGACCCGACCGTGTCGACAGAGCTGACCTCGCGCACAGAATACCACTGTGAAAATAAACGTCCTCCACGGCGCTGGGCGGGAAACAACACAGCATCGCCACGAAATTAAACAGCTGTCGTTTACCTAAGCCAATGTTAACGATGTGGGTACTTTAGCTGCTATTTTATAAGTTATTGCTCGGACAGTTAGACATTGGGCATGACTATGCATTTTACCCAAAAGGCGAGAAAACGAGAACTGATTAAGTAAGCAGTTATTTATGTCCCTACCAACTTCAGTTTGTGCAAATAACCTTAGTGAGCACAAAATATGAACACATAAATCGAGCATATCGAGAATTTTTCGGAAAGTGACACTAGGTGTAAAGCGCAGTAAGAGGAACGGGAATAACGTGTAACGTTCACGGTTCATCTATCTGAATTGCTGCTTCGGGGGGGGGGGGTGGGATTGGGTATTCAGCTGCCTCAGTCGCCGGGGTAGCCAGCGAGTCGCCGGGGGCAGCCAGCGAGTAGCCAGCCTCAGTCGGTCGGTGTTCAGTTCATCATCTTCAGTCGCCGTGGACGTGGTAGCAAGTCCCAGTCGCCGGACTTGCCGGCCTCAGTCTCCGAGGTCTCCGGGGTAGTCGGCCGCAGTCTCCCCGGCGTTCAGTCTCTGTTGACTCAGTCGCTGGGGTAGCCAGTCTCAGTCTGATGGAGTAGCCAGTCTCGGTCTCCCGGCGCTCAGTCCCAGTCTGCCAGCGTTCAGTCTCGGCTGATTCAGTCGCCCAGGTAGCCAGTCTCAGTCGCCCAGGTAGCCAGTCTCAGTCTGCTGGAGTAGCCAGTCTCAGTCTCCCGGCGCTCAGTCCCAGTCTCTCGGCGCTCAGTCTCGGCTGACTCAGTCGCTGGGGCAGCCAGTCTCAGTCTCAGTCTCAGTCAGTCTCAGCCTGCCGTCGTTCAGTCACGGCTGCCCCAGTCGCTGGGGTAGCCAGTCTCAGTCTGCCGGCGTTCAGTCTCGGCTGACTCAGTAGCTGGGGTAGCCAGTCTCAGTCTCCCGGCGCTCAGTCTCGGCTGACTCAGTAGCTGGGGTAGCCAGTCTCAGTCTGCCGTCGTTCAGTCTCGGCTGCCCCAGTCGGCGGCCCTCAGACCCAGCTGCAATCCAGCCCGCCGTTATTGGATCAGAGAAGCCGTACGGGCTCCATCGGCCGGGAGCCTGCCTCCACGGCCGCCACCGCCGCCCAATGACGAGCAATTGTGCGTGTCACGGGCGCCCTTCACGGACCGCCACGCACACACGGCTGAATGACACAGTGCTGGCGACGAGTGGGGATGGGTCAGTGCTGTTAATCGGGTGTACAATCTGTCTTAAAAGTACCGCGCAAAGTGACGGTGGATCCATCGAGCCTGACTGAGAAAGGGCCTGCTAAATTTGGGTCACCGAAGCAATTGACATCCTCGTCCATTCCCTAGGTCAATCGGTCGGTGACTTTCAAATTAACCCGCGCCCCACTGGGGGGGGGGCTATTTATAGCCCCCCCCCCTCCCGTTTTTCCGCAATAACTTTCAAACCGCTTGACGGATCGACGCCAAACTTTCGGTACCTTTAGCTGCATCAATTTGACACCTTGTGTCAAAATTTGAACTTCGTAGCTACCATAGGTCGGCCGGAAATGACGTCAGAGTGACGTCATGTTCGTCCGATTTCGACGCAAAACATTGAACCACGGCAATCGCTCCCAAGAGCTCAGTTTTTAAGCTAGATCCAATTTCTTTGCATGAAAGGACTCAGAATTGACCGCGCTATCAAACTGCTATCTCGGATTTTCAAAATTTCGAAAATTTCGAAAATTTTATATAATAATATTCAAAATTTATATTTTTGTATTTTTTTTTCAAAAAGTTTTTGACTTTTCGAAAAAAACCGGAATATATGTGACAGAACGCATGATTATGACTAACTCTAGCAAGTTTTAGCTAAATATCTTCAAAAATGGCCAAGTTATACGCATTATTGCAAAAAATTCACAATTATTAATTTTTCAAATCAATTTTTCAGTACGTATTTGACATCGTACACCAATATAAATGGCACCATCGTGTTCCTGAGCTCAAACTGCATCCAATAGACACATTTTTTGTTGAAAAATTTTAACTTCAAAATTTGACCTTTTTTGACCTGAAAGTGACCTGACCTAAGCTAAATTCGACTCAAAATGACCTCAAATGACACAGACGACATCAAATTTGAAATCTATGGCCTAAATGGACCATAAAACATGTGTCACGTGACCAACGCATGATATAATATTTCCGTGACCTGTGATGACCTGACCCTGACCTGAAAATCAAAGTACAAGTTTGGTACCCTCAAGGTATCTAAAGCATCTGTTCACGAGTGTGGAAACCAAAAATGAGCATGATCTGACTTGTAAGACGGCGGCCAGAGCCCAAAACGTGAAGAAGCCAAAATGCTAATAATTTTTACTTTGACCTGACCTGTGACGTCATCGGTGACCTCGAGGTCAATGAAATTAGGTTTCGCTCGACAGTTTTTCCGGGGCTATCAGACGCCGTTTGAATTTTGACGATCGGCCCAGTAGTTTCGGAGTTAGGAGGGGGGGCTATGAATAGCCCCCCCCAGTAGGGCGTGTTATACACAGACCCCAGTGGGGCGCGGGTTAAAGCAGGCCCTTTCTCCGTCAGACTTGATGGATCCACCGTCACTTTGCGCGGTACTTTTAAGACAGACTGTACGTAATTGGTGTGCCTTGCTAGGATACGAACGCAACTGTCATCGCAACCGTTCAGGAACACCTCATTGCACGCGGATGATGACATACCTACTGGCAATGCTACAAACGTTAACACAAAACGTGAAAAGCGTTCTCAGCGCAATGATTTTCAGGCTGTTCTCAGTGCCCACTTCACGCCAAGTTTGTTTGGTTCAACCTTGGCATTTTTTTTTTGTTACATGCATCCGCTGTCATTTCCCAACTCCCGTTAATCCCAGACGCTTTCCATTTTTTTCGTCAATGTTGTTAAATGCCTAATCTGTAGACATTGCTCATTTCCGCCATATCCTATTACTATTCACCTGCAATGCAACGCAAATCTTTCATGGATTTTCAATTTGTTCCTTGGTCAATAAGTCCCATTAGTTTCCAACGATGTAATTTGTTATCAGTTCGTGACTGTGAAAGTATCTGTGTTATGCAGCGATGGAGCTGGTGCACCGGCTGTAACTGTACGTGTATCTGTGTTATACAGCGGTGGAGCTGGTGCATCCATCTGTAACTGAGTGTACATATATGTGTTATACAGCGGTGGAGCTGGTGGTCCGTCTGTAACTGTATCTGTATCTGTATCTGTGCTACACAGCGGTGGAGCTGGTGGGCCCGTCTGTATCCGTATCTGCGTTATACAGCGGTGGAGCTGTTGCATCCATCTGTAACTGAGTGTACATATATGTGTTATATAGTGGTGGAGCTGGTGGGTCCGTCTGTAACTGTATCTGTATCTGTATCTGTGCTACACAGCGGTGGAGCTGGTGGGCCCGTCTGTATCTGTATCTGTATCTGTATCTGTATCTGTGTTATACAGAGGTAGAGCTGGTGGGCCCGTCTGTATCTGTATCTGTATCTGCGTTATACAGCGGTGGAGCTGGTGGGCCCGTCTGTAACTGTATCTGTATCTGTATCTGTGTTATACAGCGGTGAAGCTGGTGGGCCCGTCTGTATCTGTATCTGCATCTGTGTTATACAGCGGTGGAGCTGGTGGGCCCGTTTGTATCTGTATCTGTATCTGTATCTGCATCTGTGTTATACAGCGGTAGAGCTGGTGGGCCCGTCTGTAACTGTATCTGTATCTGTATCTGTGTTATACAGCGGTGGAGCTGGTGGGCCCGTCTGTATCTGTATCTGTATCTGTATCTGTATTATACAGCGGTGGAGCTGGTGGGCCCGTCTGTAACTGTAACTGCACCTGTATCTATGTTACCACAGCGGTGGAGCTGGTGGGTCCGTCTGTCACTGTATCTGTATCTGTGTTATACAGCGGTGGAGCTGGTGGGCACGTCTGTAACTGTATCTGTATCTGTATCTGTATCTGCGTTACACAGCGGTGGAGCTGGGGGGGCCGTCTGTAACTGTATCTGTATCTGTGTTATACAGCGGTGGAGCTGGTGGGCCCGTCGCTGCGCGGCCAGGTGAACGCCATCGCGTTCTGCGTGTGGACGGTGAGCATGTGCCTGCTGCCGCTGGTGGCCTGGCTGGTGGCCGATTGGCAGTGGCTGGGACTCATCACCATCGTGCCCGGAGCCTACTTCCTCGTCGTCTGCAGGTACCGGAGCACTGAGACACAGACACAGACTGACTGACGGACTGACGCATGTCGTAGTACCGCTTGTCATCGTACGTGTATATTCGCGTTTTTACGTTAATAAGATCGTTCTCATTTATCATCCACGGATGACTAGCTAACGTCTTATGTAATCTGCAACTTTAACATCCATTGTAAAGGTTGTAAACTTTGGAATGATTGGCGCCTATAGAATGTTCTACCAAAATGAGTGTTGCATACTGTTTCCAATATAATCGAATACCCGCTGCGCTGCTGTCAGATACATCCCGGAGTCTCCTCGGTGGCTGATCAGCGTGCGGCGGAAAGAGGAGGCCAAGGAAATACTGAAGGACATCGCCGCCGTCAACAAAAGGGAGGTCCCGAAAGACCTCGATCAAATGCTCGATGATCTGTCGCAACAAATCGAACACGAAAAGAAATACGGCATTTTCAGCTTATTCAAATACAGGCTGAGCGCAATCAGAACAGTCTTCCTCACATTTTGTTTGTAAGTTAAGCCAAGCGAAACACAGGCATTTCTCGTCATTCTAACCGTTCATGTTTTGCTAGAATTTAGACAGTGACAGTTAAAAGAGCCTAAACTGATTGGCTATTTATCTAAGACGCATTCAGTCGAAGTATGTACCTAAATAAAATTGTGTTTTTGGTGGTTCCATTTTGTTACACATCTAAATCAAACTCACCCGTCTTACCAATTGAATGTTCTGAGATTTGCTCTGTCATTAAATTTACATGCTGAAAGCTTCAATCATCGTATAATTTCAACAATTTCATAAACATGTCAGAACCCCTAAATTTATTAGCCAGAAACTTGATACTTAGAATCGAGCACGATGTCAATTCACGGTCTCTGTCGTGGCTTCTTTTCAGCATCGGCAACATCGTCATCTACTACGCGCTGCAGATGAACGTGTCCAACATGGCCGGCAACGAGTTCCTCAACTTCTTCCTGCTGTCGGCGGTGGAGGCGCCGGCCAACCTGATCGGCTGGCTGGGCAGCGAGCACCTGGGCAGGCGCTGGACAGAGGTCGGCTTCCTGGCCATCACCGGCGTCTCCTGCCTCACCATCATGCCGCTGCTCTTCTGTGAGTACTAACCTCATGGCAATGGTTTAGTCACAAGCTCACCCTGAAAAGATAACCGTTAGGAAAGTTTATCCCAAATAATTTTAATCCGTTTAAAAAGAGCTTATCACCTATCACCTATCCACCAAGTGATTTTTACGCTGTTTTTTCCTACAATGATAACTCGAGTCGCATTAATTGATATGAGTGTACGATAAAGAAAATTTAAAGTTTGTTGAAGTCCATGAAATACGGGTATCCGAAATATGTTAACAGTATGTGCAAATCAGTTCTTTTATTAGAACGAGTTAATGATTGTGAAGGTCTTGTAGGAGCGCCTAAATCCGTTAATTGGATGTAAGAATGGCTTCGTACAGAACTTGTGCGTCTTCGAAACTCTCCTCAAATTGTCGTTCCGAAGGTGAGCTGCCTTAATCAGATCCAACGCAGAAATGCAAAGCTTACTGCTATTCCGTACAGATGATTAAAAACAAAACATGAAAAGGCCAGTTAATGAATTCACGTTTCTTGTGCGGTTGTAAGTCGCTAAGGCTTTTCGTAGCCTGCAGATGTCCTCTGCCAAACGATCTGCTGTTGTCTCTTATGACTCGTCCGTCTGTCCGCTGTCACCCCCGCAGCTAACTGACCCGCTGCCGTCCTCTCGTGGCCGGTCTTCTGTCCCCCCGGTGACCCGTGTCTCACTCCCGTAGCTTCGGAGCTGACCTGGCTAGTGACGGCGCTGTACCGTCTGTCGTCCCCCTGGTGACCCGTGTGTCTCTCCCACGCAGCCCCGGAGCTGACGTGGCTGGTGACGGCGCTGGCCAGTCTGTTATCCCCCTCCCCCTGGTGACCCGTGTGTCACTCCCGCAGCTTCGGAGCTGACCTGGCTGGTGACGGCGCTGGACCGTCTGTTGCCCCTCGTGACCCATCTGCTGTCCAGTGGCGGATCCAGGGGGGGGGCAAAATGGGCATTTGCCCCCCCCCAAACGGCATGATTTTAACATTACGCCTATGGACGATGCAGAAAGAATCGATAAACTTTTATGGTTTGCCCCCCCCCCCCAAAAAAAAAACTGAGCTGGATCCACCTCTGCTGCTGTCCCCTGGTGACCCGTCTGCTGTCCCCCGGTGACCTGTGTGTCGCCCCGCAGCCCCGGAGCTGAGCTGGATGGTGACGGCGCTGGACACCTGGTGACTAGTCTCTCGTCCTCTCGTGACCAGTGTCTCTCCCCCGCAGCCCCAGAGCTGACCTGGCTGGTGACGGCGCTGACCCGTCTGTCGTCCCCCTGGTGACCCGTCTGCTGTCGCCCGGTGACCCGTCTGTTATCCCCCGGTGACCAGTATGTGTCGCTCCCTCAGCCCCGGAGCTGACCTGGCTGGTGACGGCGCTGGCCATCACGGCCAAGTTCTCCATCACCGTGTCGTTCTTCGTGGTGTTCCTGCAGTCTGCCGAGATCTACCCGACGGTGCTGCGCGGCTCGGGCCAGGCGCTCGGCTCCACCATGGCCTACGCCGTCGGCATCGGGTCGCCGGCAATCATCTACCTGGTGCGTGGTCCGCTGCAGTGGGCAGGGAGGGAAGGAGAGAGAGAGAGAGAGAGAGAGAGAGAGAGAGAGAGAGAGAGAGAGAGAGAGAGAGAGAGAGAGAGAGGGGATGGAGGGAAAGAGGAAGGAGGAGGGGTAAGGCGGTCAAATGGGCAGACGGTTGAATAGACGGACATATACGCCAAATGAGAGGGAAAGGGGCTGGGAGGTAATGAGTTTGCGATTGAGATACCAAGAGAGACGAAAGTATGAGAGGAAAAATATAGAAGAAGCAACGACTAAAATAGACTTCCCTTTGTTTCAAACGTTCGCATGAATTGCCAAAGTCGTTCTCCTGTTGCGGGAACTGCGGTTCATGCCTGGCCGACACGCTCACCGCCGAGTTCTAACCTCTGCACTCGTGTCCGACAGTCCAACGCCAACCCAGTGCTGCCGTACCTGATCCTGGGCAGCATCGCCGTGCTGTGCGCCGTGATGGCCTCCTTCCTGCCGGAGACGCTGGGCACCGACATGCCCCAGTGCCTGGAGGACACGCGCGACTTCCTGCACGACCAGCCCTACTTCTCGTTCATCACGCGGCGCAAGCTGCGCGCAGAGTCGGGCGCCGGCTCGGGCGGCCTGCGGCGCCGCTCGGTGGTCGTCTCGCAGGACGGCCTGAACGGCGCCGTCAGCACCCGGCTGGCCAAGCTGGAGGCCGAGGCGGCCATATAGCGGGGCGCGGCGGGGGCGGCGGCCTGCGAGCCGCCGTCCCCGCCCCAGCGCGCCGCGCGGCCCATCCCGGCCGGCCAGTCGCCGCTGCTCAGTCCCGGGCCGTCACCGGCGCCCTACACGAGGTCATCGCTGAGCGCCTGGACCGCCTCACGGGCCGAGGGCGCCGGCCAGAAGGAGGTGCTGCTCTGACGAGGTCACGGAGGACTGGACTGTGGCTGAGGAGCCTGCACCGGCTTAGGGGAGTGGCTACTACGAGCGGGAGTCACGAGCTGGCGGTATCCAGATGAAACTATAGCGGGAGACCAGCGTACTACTCAAAGAACTCCACAAACGTCAAACACATGCACCACTGCGGGTCTTGCAGCACGCTGACGACCTTAGAGACAAATTCACGGGATGCCAGGTGTCATGATTGCGAGGAGCTTGGCTCGGGCCAACAGAGGACCATTGGATGTTGTGACTGTTCTATGTGAGAGTTGTGGAAAGCCCGGCGGCGCAAAACACTCAGCCATCGGCAGTTATAGCTGCCACTCTAAAGGCAAGACACTTCAGCAGCCTGCTGGTGTTATTTGCTGTAAACGACATCTCGTTTTGCCTTGGCCCCGCAATTATAGATGGATTTAACGCCGTCTATAGCTAACTTGTCACATAGTCTGATGAAAGGAAGAATAATTGCGTCTGTCTCGAGCTTCCATCTCGGTGATGTTTGGTCAGTCGATGAAATGAGCCTGTCATAGGCGCTGGACATTGTCGTTTACTGAAGCAACAGAGGCGTTGCTGACAGATATGTGTTTTCTTGCAAAGCATGCATGAAGATGCATGAAGCCTTGATAATCACAAAGGTGTGGTACTTACTTAGCTGTTACCCGCGCGAAACATTTTCCCTTTGTAAGTAGTGGCCAGAGTTTGCGAAGTGACATTTATCATTGGCGTATAGACGTAGCTAGGAGTTGGCTACGCTTAAGTTTCGGTGTGCTCGGTCAGGGTAACATAACACATGTTTGTACATATTGGAAAGGTGTCTGATGAGCTGTCGCGACTGGGGAGCGGCTATTTGCTGTTGGTGTTTGACATTTGCTGACGAACGCTATTGATAGGGCTAGGTGTTTTCCGAGTGTCGATGGTGGTCAGTGCGGATAGAATAGGGATTTTCATCTTATCTTCACGCTATCCCTTAGCGTTTGGCTGTAGGCTGAGCTGTCTGTACAGTGTATGTGTAGTTGGGCCGCTTACCTACTATGGGCAATGTTTGAGTCGTACGACTTGGCCGCAGTTCGTTCAGCTCTGCGTGCATACGGCGATGCACATATGCAGAACGCTGCTTGCTGACTGCCCGTGGTAGCCGGAGCCCCGGGCCTAGTGTTCGCGCAACATGGCGCTGCCACCGGCCCCGGCGAACCTCCGTTTGACCCTGATGTTCCCCGCTGTCCTCCGCGTCGGTCTGAGGCGCAGAGTCGCGGCGCGCGCGGCGGTAGACTCGCCCGGCGACTCGCTGTTGTGTACGTGGAGAGCAATACTTAGCCGTCGGTGTGCGCGCGCGTCTGTGTGTGTCGGGGGAGCGGTGGCGGTGACCGGTGTCGGTCCGGCGGCCGACACCCGCTGACGGATCGGCGGCCGCCGCGGCGTCAGCGGACGGATAACACGTCACCGACAGCCGTCACATGCGGACCCGACCGGCGCGCCACCGCGCCGGCTGCAACACAGCGCCAGCCCTGGACGTAGCCAGGTTTGGACGATTCGTCACCCAGCTTCTACACTTCTACAATCAGCATCACAGCTTCCGATAACTACGAGTATTTGGGATATAAATCAACCAAAGCCTCCAATGGACAGACTAATACCAGTAAATTGCCTTTTGGGCGAAGAACGAGCGAGCGAGATAGTGAGCCCTGCATGTGCGGAAGGGCAAGAGGGTACTTCCAACAGGCTTGTGCAAAGCACCCTTCTAACCGGTCGCTAGCGGTGTACCAAATTTGAACGCAATCGGCCCAGCCGTTCCTGAGATCTGGAAGCGGCATTCTGCACGTGCGCACGTGCAAACTGGGTCCAAATTGACTTTTGAACGGCACCCTACTAACTGGTCCCCAGCCGTGTACCAAATTTAAGCGCAATCGGCCCAGCCGTTCTCGAGATCTGGAAGCGCCCCCTGCACGTGCGCACGTGCAGTAGCTCCTTAACCGCAACACATGGGAATGCATTGCCTAGTGAGTGGTGGATGCCTACCTGTATGCCAAGTTTCAGCGAAATCGCCCCAGTAATTATCGAGTTATTGAAATGGGAACAAATTTGGCACCTCTTTTTTTGTATTTTGCACGTGCAGTGGGGGTCACTCACATAGATCAAGAGTATCCGACCTTTGGTAGAAGGGATGCAGCTACCCTACAAAAATTACCGCAAGATAATCGCTCAAGCGGCTGCTGAGATATGAGCCTATCAAAATCACTACTTTTGCAAAACAGCTTGAGCACCTTCGACTTTTCACGTGGCAGTTGCCACGACGGTCACTGAGATGTATCAAAAGTAGTCAATTACGGGGTAGAAGGGATGGGGCTACCCAGCAAAAAAGACCGCAGGCCAATCGGTCCAGCGGTTGCTGAGATATAAGCCTCTCAAAAGCGTTACAGGCCGGGTCGGGCCGGGCCGCTCACACTGAGCTTTTTCCGTTATATTGAAAAGACTCGCTTCGCTCGCTGCGCTCGCTCGCCCGTAAAGAACGAAACAAAAATAAGAGTACTGGTGGCACGGTCAGGGGCTCCGCCACAGGGGGGTACGCGGGGGTCCGGACCCCCTCAATAATTCCCGTGGGGGGTACAGTACCCCCCAATATTCCGAATACCTGTAACCTTCTTTTGCGTTAGAATGACTAAATCATTCACAGAATGTGTTGAATAATTTAATTAGAATGTGTTGATGGTCGCAAAGCTAAGGAATTTAAGATTTAGAAATGTAGGGAAACACGAAGATGTTGTGACACACGAAGTGCTCAACAATCGCCGACCTATATTTATGGGAGTGTCATAATCATTATTCTACCATTTTGTTATTACTATGAATGCGTTTAACCCTCGCCCGCACATGGGGGGGGGGGGGGTGGTTGCCACCCCCCCCAGGCAGTCTTTCTGCTCTGCACTCAGCATTTTTAGAGCTAGAAGGCTGATTTTTCGTATAGCTGCCTGCTCGTCTATCCTTTCTTGATGTCCACTGAAAATTTCAAGTTTCTGTGATTTTTGGTTTCGGAGATATGACCTTGTTTTTCAGGTCATGTCATGACCCAAATGGCCAATGCTCAACATCTTGCGTTTGCCATGGGCCTTGTGAGCTTTTGACACCCTGATTTCGGCCTTTTTTGCCAGTCTTACCTCCCACCTATCATGGAACATGTTGTTCGACGATGTACAGGGGTCAAGGTCAGGGTCAAGGTCAACCTAGGTCATCTAAGATAATTGCGTTTTAGGCAAGCTGAATTTACTTTTTGTGAAGTTTTTTGACTGCATTTTTGGTAAAAGCTTCTCAGATCATGATTTCATGTGATATGGACCCAAAAACAATCGGTGCACACATTAGTATACACACAGACACAGACAGACATACAAACACATATAATTGACCTTGACCTAACTTGACCTGAAATGACCTCAGCAGCAAAATTCTGGTCGGATAGTGTGACAAAGAGGTTCTAGCTGGCTTGGCACCAGAAAACAGCATCGTCATCGGTATTTGATAAGCAGCGCACTTGATATCCAACGGTGACCCAAAACAGCAACATTTTTTAGTTTGACCTGACCTGGAAGGTCAATGACTGACCTGAGAAGGTAAAACTGGGTATCGTTGGATTTGTCTCTTCCCAAAGAATCTTTTTGGTCTTTACTGCTAAGCTCTATCTCCAACAGGAACGAAATGGCGCGGGGGGGGGTGGTGGCAACCACCCCCCCCCCCATGTGCGTTCTAGGATGGGAAAATGGCATGTGCGGGCGAGGGTTAAGATTGCTAGGATTAACTTAGCATGCTAGAATTTGGCAATAATTTCGTGAGAGGGGTCCAGCTTGCAGGACATCTCCTAGACACAACACCCGCCCCAAAAGAGCTTCAAATCGCCCGATATCACCCGATAGTGTGTGTGTGTGGGGGGGGGGGGTAAGCCGGTCTTTCGAGCACCATACTAGTCTGAGAGCCTAATGCGCTGTCTGATGGCTAACACCGCCCTTGGAGCGCGCAACAGCGGCCTCCTTTCCTTAAGCACGTTGATTTGAGAGGCCGCCATGTCGGTGTCATTGAGCTCCGCTTCTCGGTTTTCGACTCCTCTTGCAAACTGAACCTTGTTTTTTTTTCGGTTCATAAAGCAAAATCCTCCCGATAGAATTGTTAAGTTTCCTTTGAACGCTAGAAAAACGGCAATTTTTCATCGATTTCGGGAGCTGCAGGGGGTGGGGTGGGGGTGAGGGGTAGGGATGGGGGTGAATTCGCCCAAAATGCCCACCTTGGATCCGCCAGCGAGGTTTTGTGTTTTTGGTCGGACTCCCCCAATCCCAAAACCGTGGCGGAGCCCCTGGGCACGGTAGCAATATTAAACGGGCGCCAGATATCGGGCAATCCTCAGTTCTTTCGACAAATTACTGCAGAATGAATGAACATTGGACACTTCCCGGCAGCAGACAATGAGTCAGGTCCTGACTTCAGCGAGCGGTTGGTATTTCAAACATAATTAGGTAATATGTAGGTGGACATTGCGCATAGTTAAAAGTTTAAAAAAAAACGGTGTTAGGTATGACACGTATAGGGGAGAGTGGCTATATTGCGCCACGTCAAGCGAAACTGGCTTCAGCTTGGAATACAAGGACAGCACAGGTTAGTTGTTTTCACATTATATTTAGAAACCTTTTTCCTACCTTTTTTAGACACTAATTTATCGCATAGTTCAACTAATTAGCCAGACACGGTCTTTTTAGAAAGTGTTGCAAAGGGCGCAATTGTCGAATACCTTCGATAAATGCGCCCACCCATGGCGCAATTGAATTCAAATGCGCCCACCGCAAATACATGCATTAGCTATGGGCTGTAAAGATAAGAGTGATAAGTAGGTGATGCGTATATGATGTGTCATTATTTCATTAATTTACCATCTGTTTTTTAGAAATTTTATTAGAAGTGCACAGTGACCTCATATTGCTTGTGGTTTTGTCATCTGCTAAGCCTTTCGAATAATAGCCATCATTATTAATGTTACCCATTTCTGATTTCATTAACATTAGCCCGGGTGTGGCGCATTTACCCCGGTCGCATTTGAAAAGACGTAGTGGTGTGACAGAACATGGCGTCCCTTTTCACCGCAGCCACAATCTCTTGCATGGAGGTGCTCAAATCATTCGAAATTAACCATCTGTCCGAAAAATTAGCAATGCCTACATGCGTCCAAACATTCACTAAACCTTCAGGTCCTGATTTCAGCGAGCGGTTGGTATTTCAAACATAATTAGGTAATACTAGGGTGACCCGCGTGCTCCGCAACGCGAAAAGGGGTATTTACGATCGGCGGGTGTTTGGTTGTTTTTGTGTCGGTTGGGTTATCCATCCATTTCGGTCGATTGCCTTTTGACGGCTAAACGATTTGGTTTGGAAAGAATACCTATCCATCGCATCGAGGTGCCCGTGTTTGATAAGCATGCTTTCTACTTCAGAACCTGTCAATGGTTCAGTGAACCTGTCAAATGTGTTTTATAATTCAGGTGCGTAGTTTTATGACAAATGAAAGGCGTAGATAATTTTCGCTAAAAATGGATTTGCAGAGGTTTGAAACATTTATATTTTTAAGAATACCGTTGCGTGTCATGCAAACGTGATGATTGGATCTTGGAGAAAATTGAATGCTGTTTCTAATGATAACATTTTCAATAGGGTTGGGACCTATCTGCATGCTCTGTATGTTTTGGTAAAATAAAAAAGCTTAGAATTTTTAATGATTTAATTTAAAATCACTTTGTTAAAAAAATGCCTAGTTAGTTCAGAAATTAATTATTTGTGGCTGAAAACAACTTGCTTCTGATTGGTCGGGCTAATCATGACGTCACATGTAGGTATATAACTGTCTGTATATTTGGCGCAGTTGAGACATACATTTTCTATGTATTTTCCTATGGTAAATCGGAGTGATTGGTCGTGTTTTCAGTGTCTCTTTATTTTGCGCTGGTATTGCGTGGCTAAGAAGTTTTATCAAGAATGGCATATACTAAAATGTTCCTTTAATAATGGAGCTTCAATATCTGTGAGTTTTATTGGCAAGCGAAAACTGATTTCGCTGTTATTTTATCTGGAAATTACTCATTTTTTTAGGTCAATATTCAAAATATTTTACGAGAACAAGTTGGCACTTTTCTTGATTTTTGCACTCAAATCGCGTGCGATTCATCTGTATTGGAACTTGCAAAGAAGCTTGGTGATTAATTAACTGTGTTGTTATGGCACTGTTTGCAAAGCATGGATAACGAAACTCTGCCAAAGACTTAGCTACATAGCAATGCCTCAAGTAATACGCAGG